CTCTCCCCCCCCCCCCCCGCTCTCACACACACACACACACACACACACACACACACACACACACACACACACACAGCCAAAGCTAGAACAAAGGTCTTCCTGCCTCCTCAGCCCATGTGCTTTCCATACACCACACTAAATAAGTTTCTTGCCAAGAACTCCATCCTAATCCACAGTCCTGGAGAGGCTGTTCTCATTCTCAGTTCCAACTTATTCCCTACAGATCCTGGTAGTCTGTGAGAAAGACAAGTCTCCCATCTCTAAGAATAACCTAGCAAACATCACTGGGGTTTTTTGTTATTTTTTAAAAAATCTTCACCCAAGGATATTTTTCCATTGCTGTTTAGAAGGAGTGGAAGGGAGGAAGGAGGAGAGAGAGAAAAAAACAACAACATCTTCTGGGATCGAGACTGCAATCAAGGTATGTGCCCTTGACTGGGAAGTGAAGGGTCCAAGGGCCATTGCTATAATCCAGTAGTTCCCAATGCGCGGCACATGCCCCACAGGGGGCCAATTTGACTTTTAAGGGGAGCAATTTGAGAATGAGTTATTAACAGTGAATTTTTTGCATTTCTTATGATTCTAGGGGCCTCACATACATTATATAAATATATAGTGACATATTTAAGCATTTCAGTTCTCTGTTATGTTTTGAAATTTTATTTACTACTTTTTCATATCACTTCATATTATTATTATTATTAACAATTTCTTAGTGATTTCTTTCTCAGTACTTCAACTGTCTTTTCATTCTTTTAGTTTTCTCTTTTATAGATGCCATGTTCCTTGGGAGCTTGTTTAGACCAAGTTAATGGCCTTTAAGGCTTCCTCCATGTGAATAGGAGTTCACTTTTTGAATAATAAGAATTATATGTCACAGGGGAGGGGCATCAGGATTTTAGAGATGCTTAAGTGGGGCATGGCCAAAAATGTTGGGAACCACTGCTCTAACCACTGAACAACCGGCAATGATCAAACATCACTGTTTTCTTAAAGATATTACCCCT